GAGCAAAGATCATTCAAATTGAATCACTATATGTGAAGTAATTAATGATCAAATTTAGATAAAATTCAATAATATACTGAACGTGATTACTGAACAATTAGTGATTCAATTCACTTGATTTTAGATTCATTAGATAGATCTCGATTTTCTCTTTCAAATGAATGTAAATTTATTTGTATAGCTTATTTCTACGAAGAATTATCAATGATTTTGTCATGAGAGTTATATTTAATCTTTTAAATTTTAATGATATCTTATATTAAAAAAAATTAAAAATTATATAATTAATTAGTTTTTTTTTGCATTATCTGGTATAAATTTATTATTCTTATATAAATGATAATTTATATTTGCTTTAATAAAATTATTTTTGTATAAAAAAATTAGATTCCAAGGATCGGCCCATATGAAACGTAAATATCTCCAGATCTAATGATCCAATCGACAAGCTCATTTTTTGCTCATATAGACCAGATTAAAGGCTTTCCGATGAGCTTAAATTTATAAAAACGGATCAGTGGATCCCAAGATATTTGCATTTAAGCATGTTAAAAAGTTTATACCTCAACTTTAAACGTAAATATCCCTGGATCTAATGATTCAATCAGCAAGCTCTTTTTTCGCCTATAAAGTCCAGAACAAGGGCTTTCCAACGAGCCTAAAATTATAGAAAACGGATCAGTGAATCTTGATATATTTGCGTTTAAAGATGGTAATACAAATTTTGACATAAAATAAATATTTTTATTGTTTGAAAATATCTATTATGATACCATCTTTTATAGTATGATATTTTTATTATACTTTTATAAACATTTATAGCTACTAAGACTATATATTTTATTAAAATATACTTACTTTTTAATAATATATGTTAAAAATTCCATATATATGTTGTGCGTCAAGTGTCGATTTGCGTCAGATGCAGCTGACGTACGTCAAATGTAAATTGATACTTGATGTGCATCACTTGAATCACACAATAAAGTTCTCCTATAGTAAAAAATTTTTTTTACTCTGTAAGTAAATTTGTTTGCTACAATAATTTACACATATTGTGAAAATTTTATGGCTATTTAATCTATGTTTAATTAAATATTGTGAATTTACTTGAAAAAACTTGTAATTTATTAATATTTTGAATGAAGTGTTTTCCATGAAACTGAGTCTAATCAATTTAATATTACAGGGTTACATATTTTTTAACAAGATTAATAAACTTATTTAATAAAGAAATTTAGTTTAAGTTTGAAAATTTTAATTTAATTATAACTTAATTTTGCATATTTTATATCACAAGCATTGGCTGCATCTGACACAAATCGACACTTGACGCACAACATATATAATAAATGGGTTTTTATTAGTGAAATGGGTTTTTTTCACACCTCTTTTACATTTAATAATTTAAGTTTCGCAAATGTAAATTTTTGTTCAACTTATTATTTAGTCAAGTGATCATCAATCAGATGATTTTTTGGTATTACAAAACAATGAAAATTGTGAAAATCAATTCAATGATTCTTTTTAATGCAGAGTAGACAAATCAGCCCATATGTAATATTTTTTTATAAGTATATGCAATTTTTTTAACTTATTGTAATTTTTCAATTAACTTTATGTATATTATGTATTTCATTATTTTGTTTATTATTACTTTCTTTTTCAATAACTTCATTTTATTCATATTCATATTTACTTTTTTCTTTTCTTCTTTATCTCTTTCCTTATCATAATTGCATAAAGAGTTAGTAATATTTATTTTAGAATATGTAATTTTTATAAGAAAATTTCTAAGTTTATATGGGGTGTTTGTACACAGGTCATATAAATATAATTTTTACTAATTTTTTATTTTTTAATTTGAAATTGAATGCTACCAACATTATACGCTTTTACTTTTTATTCTTATTATATTACAGATAAATATATGTATTTTCACCTGCTCTGCAAGTTTACTTAAGGCATTAAAGGAGGTTTTGAATGCCGTTTTTAATCTACTAATATGACCCGTGTTTAAACACCCCGTGTACAAATAGAAATTGCCATATAATATATTAATAAATTTTCACAATTTTAATGTTTATAAATATACAATTAGACAAAATTTTTGATATGTGTATAACCGAATGTAAATTTTTTTTTTACAATAATTAGCATTATTATTTTTAACTTATTCTTTTTTCTTGATTTTTTTTATATATATTATTTAATTTTACAAATTATAAATAAAATTTTACAATTCTAGTATTTGTTTATTTATTTTCTTAAATTTTTATATAATAAGAATACTAATCTTAACGAGACTAGTAATTAATTCAAATTTGAAAATATATTAAAAAATTATCAGTTTAATATAAATTCATATTACTTATAATATATCAATTATTTAGTTTATTAAGGACCCACCTACTATTATTAAAATAGGTCATCCTGTAATAAGATTTACATATAAAACTCTTTAAAGATCCTACTATAAAAGAAAATTTTATGTTATATTGTTATAATTTTTTTTCTTTTTAGTCAATTAACCAATAAAATTTAAGCAAGTCCTAAGGTAAGGTTTCATATGAAAGTGAAATTTCTACCAGTAACATATTTTAGTAGTAGGTGGGATCCTGTTTATTGTAATCAATAAAATTTAGTTAATTTAATAATTATTACATTTTATAAAAAGGATAAACTATTTAATGTAATTTATTGAATACAAACAATAATATATATGAAAAAATTAATTTAACTTATAAAATTTTTAAATAGATAACTACTAGCTAAAAATTTTTTGGATATTCAGGTTATACTAAATCAACTTTAGATATATAAATAATGAACCCAGTTTATATTACTCAATATCATATGTTATCAATTCCTTTAAATTTTTTCTAACTTTTAAAAAATCGCTATTATTACTATCATTCCATTTATTACTTATTTCTTTAATTTTTCTCTGAATTTCATCAACATTAGCATAATAATATCTAAAAATATATTAATAAAAAGTATAAGCTTTTTTTATAAAAAAATAAATAAATAAATTTAACATACATTACTTCAGGAAACCATGTTTTATTACATTTCTGATATGGAAATAAATATAATAACTCAATTTCAGCCAAAATCTATAATAAAAAAAAGCTGAAATTTAGTATTTTACAAATATATAACTTTATATTAAATGAATAATAAAAATCTTATACCTTTGCCTTCAATACCAAATAAGAAACTCTATTATTATTTTTATCAATTTCAATATTAAGTAATCCAATAAATAAATTCATAAGATATATAACAATTAAAAATGAAAATAAAACAATTAATATTACAAGTGATGGATTATTTTTATATGACCAATTAGATAAGGCACTTGAATCACCTAATAATAAATATATATAAAAATTTATCAATTGTTAAATATTATAATATATTAAAAAAAATAAATATATATATTATACCTATCAGAAATAAATATATTGCAAAAAGTGCAGTTTTATAATCTATAAACATATTAGTATTTTCATCAGGTTGTTGAATTATAAATTGATTTGGTTCAATTATTTTAGGTTTTTCAATAGTACTATCACTAAATACTTGTACAAACTTAGGAAGAGTACTCCAAGGATTATTAGAATCATCAAAGTTAGGTTCATTTAAAGAATAAACAGATTTTGGTGATAATAAAATATAAAATGCATGTGTAAAACTTATTATAAAAATTAACAATATTACTATAAAAGAAATAATCTGTTTTCCAACGCTAATAATTATTTCAAAATATATACCAAAAGATTCAATTGCCCTAAGAAATAATAAAAATTTTATATCTAAAAATAAACATGAAAAAGCAATTAATGATTCCAATTCTTTTTCATTACTTATAAGCCATATAATAGAAGTAATAATTGGAAGTATATATGCAATTATATCTATAATATTAAATAGTCATATAATTAGCTTTTTTTTGTTAAAATATTGGTTATTAAATATATATACATACCAAACCAGTTCCAAGGATCACTAAACCATTTGATAGGATTATAAAAAAATTGATAAACTTCAAAAATAAGATGAATAAATCCAAGTAAAATTGAAGTAATTAAAAGTGGTTTTTGAATATTATTATTATCACAATGAACTGCAATAGTAAAACATACAAGTAAAGTAATAAATCCAAGCCAAATAACTCTATAATAATATTTTCCATAAGTATTCCATTTAAAATTAAGTAATGCTTCTCCATCCCATGTTTTAAATATTTCTTTATTTATTGTTTCAGCAAATGGACTAGATTTTAAAAGCCAATTATAATTTTGTGAATAATTATTAAATTTAATATAAGGAATCATAAAAGTAATCATTGGTGTTAATGTATGTTTTGAAGATTTTGAAAAAATTTGATTAAAAATATAAGTAACTTTTAAGGTTATTTTCAATAAATAGGAATATTTTATCAAAATGAAAAAACTTAAATCAATTATTTGAAGATTTAGGGAAAAAGAATGAAGATGTAAATTATTTTTTTTGCGATTTATACTATAAAAAGGGGAATCTATAATCATAGTTGTTTCTAATGAATATCTTGAAATATATTCTGGATAATATTCATTTAATATTGGCATAACAGAAGTAATAACACTCAAAAATACCTTATTGTTTTTTAAATCCTTTTTAAAATAAAACATACATTTTTTATAGATTACTTCTATTAATTCTAATTTATGTTCTTTAATTGCAAAAGTAAATAATTCAACACCATATTTCAAAAGACTTTCCTTATTATCTACTATATATGAAACCCATTTATCAAATGACTTGAAACTATCATAATTTGGTAAAGGTAAATTAGGCTTTGAAAATACATCTTTATAATATTGTAATTTATCCTTATATTGTTCTTCATCTTTCATGATATATAAATCCATGAAATAAAAATAATTTAAGGAAATTGACTTATTATTTTCATTAAAATGATAAATAAAAAGACCAATTGTTGTAAATATAACAATATTATTACAATTAAATAATTTAGTTTTACATAAATAAATCTTCTTTTCAAAAAGTCTTTCAAATTTATCAAGTCTTTTACTAATAATATTAGCATCAGAACTGTTGTTAGAATCGGATCTATTAAGATCAGAATTGTTGTTAAGAACTTTTAATTCCAATCTAACTTCATATTCAGTTGCTTTTTTAATTATTATATTCCATATAAATAAACCTTCTTCATTCTCAAGTTCACTTCTGTTGTCAATCAAAGATGAAGTAACTTCTTCAAATAATTCACATATAATACTCATATTTGGATTAAATAAATTAAAGTTTATATCATCATAACCATCACTATTTTCTAAATTTGATTCTTTAGGATTTTGGGGTGAAACTATTTTTGATAATTGTTCTGTAAGTTTAATCTTCAGAACAAACCCATCTAGAATTCCAAATGCGTAATTGGTTGTAGTTGTTTTATTTAGAACGTTATTTGGAAAATTTTCTAAATTATTAGTTTGAAATTCCTTTAAACCATTTTTCCAACATTGTTTCATGACGGAATTACAAACTTCACTGTTTAGTATACAGCTGAATAATAATGGGTGTAATCCAATATGACTAGTATGATTCATAAACCTATATAATTGATCATCTAAATAAAGTAAATAAAGGAAATTATGAATCGATATTAATAAAAGCTAATGGTATAATACATAAAACATAAAAATAAAAAGGCAAATACCATTATTTATATCCAAAGAAGCGATAGTAATTCCTAATTCAATTGAATAAATAATAATTTTATCTTCATCTTTAATTTCGTCTTTAATTTCGTCTTTGATTTCATCTTTGATTTTATCTTTGATTCTCAAGCAAATAAACTTTTCATTACTTGTAATATTAAGATCTACTGCTTTAAACTATTAATTTGTTAAAAATAGATAATAATTAATTATGGAATACCATCACATAGTTTTAAAACGAATGATTTTAATATAATTTACTACCTCATTCTCGTTTACAAATATGCTTCTGATTGATTCTCCGGTAAGGATATTCCATTCATAAATGTAATTATTTGAAAATAGATAAAATTTATCATGTTTTGATATATGATGTAATGGTTTAAAATCGTCGGGTACCATGTAAACTTTTTTACACATCCACTTGTTATTTTTAGTTTGTGTTGAAAAGACCCAAATAATATTTTTATAATCGTAAGTATCAAAATAAAATTCACCGTATAAAATAAAATCGCCTTTTGAACTAAAGGTACAATAAAGCATTTTATGCTCAATGTCAAAATTTAGTCGTATTTTATTGAAACCATTCATATCAATTATTTCTAATAAAATACAAGTTAATAAGCACCCACTAATTATGAATAAATACATATTAAATAATCATTACTCACTTAATTCGTTTCCATCATCAATATAAACAAGTTCCTTATTATCGGAAACACAAATTTGGTTGATTTTATTATCAATGAGTTTAGAATAATCTTCCGTCATATTTTCAACATCCCTCCTGGAAACCGAAAGAACTTCTTCGTTGTAAACAACAAGGTATTTTTCATTTGGTGATATTACTAGGTTAGACATTTCTCAAAATTTTTCTAAAATGAAAATCATGGAACATAATGTTATTAAGCGGAGTTATATACCGACAAATCTCATTATGAAATCAAAATCATATGGGTTACATTGTGCCGATCATTTTACAAAATGAGAATCAACTCGTTTATGTATTAATGATTTTTGATGAGTTTCGCCAATATTTTTTAGATTCTTTAATAAAGTGAGAAGTATGAAAATATGAAAAGTAAAGCTAAGCAAAAAATATTTTTAAAACACTGTGATTTCAGACTAAATATTCAATGGCGCTTTTATTTATATTTGTTATAAATTATTATCCTGCACACTTAAGCTCAAAACAAAACCGTAAATTTAACAATAAACAAAAATTTCGCGATAGAGATTTAAAAGAAGAGCAAAGAAAATTAAATAATAAAGCGACTCAAAACTTATATTAGGATGTTAGAATACACTTCAAAGTAATATTTCATGCTTTTTAACTTTTTTATTTAATATATCATACAAAATTAATAAAAGAAGATTTTACATTAAAATTCTAAATGATTCATACTCTTGACCAGTCTTCACGCGTGCTTGTTCTGTTGCGAGAGAAATATTTTAATATGCTTTTTTTTTACCATAAAAATAAAAATAAAATAATTTTACATAAAAAATACGAAAAACCAATCTGCATGAAAGAAACGACCTGAGCGAAAAAATACATCATGAAAAAAATAAATATGTATAACCCTCCCACATCATATGATTATCATGTGATTTCCTAGCATATGACCAATTTTAGTCTTATTTTCAATATTATTTTCTCTAGATAATTGGATGATGTATTTTGGTTTGCCAGGTATCCTCACTAAAGATTTTCTTTTTTGTGGGGATATTTTAGAATTAGAATGATTTGAGATGATAAGTCCATTAATAGCCGATGAAGGCAAACAACAATAGGAAAATGCCATTTTTTTTTTTAAAAAACGATGTTCAATGAGAGGGAGATTATTTGAAGAATTCAAGTTTTCTAACTTTTTTACAGGAATTCCAAAACAATAAACTGGTGCATTGCAACGACTAATAAACCAGTTGTTATTTTTTTTATTGTATTGAATAACCATCCACTTAATTCTCAAATCACATCGACGCTTTTTAGGATCTTCTCGAATAATTATAATTGAAAGTTTCGGTTTTTTATTATCTGGCCAAATTATTTGACAATTAAAAAAATCTTTTTCATTTTTGCCAACATTGCTAATAATTGTTACTAAGATGCTATAATCAGGTTTGTCAAAATGTTTTAAAATGCTCGGCGGTATTTCTCTTTGTCTTTCATAACACTTTGATATATCATCTAGATACCAAGGTTTTTCTAAGTATTCGGTCTTTTCATGAATGCAACCACCCGGCTTTAAAATTTGTTCGACATCAGGTAAAAATTGATAAATACTAATTAAATTTTTAAATTTTATGCATCTCCAATTTTCGAATTTTGTTAAAGAGCTAACCCATTCTTTGTCAAAATTTCCAGAAATTCCTCCAACTGTTTTAATATTAGAATAATTGTTTCCATTTGACTTTTTAAAATAAGCTTTTCCTCCCAAAATAACTTCGGTTGAAATAAATTGACCAAATCTTCGAATGATAGTATCAAAATCTTTAGAATCTATTGCTTCTTTTGCTGCTTTAAGAAATTCTGGAGTTGGTGTTAATTTAAATTTTAAAGATGCTTTACGGTATTCATGAATATTATAAGCTGTATTACTAGTTTTCAAATTTTTGTCATCCGCAAAAAATGAATTTATCCATGTCTGCTCATTAATTGTTATAACTTCATCAATATAGACTGTTTTATCAACCTCTATAGTAAATGCATTCTCAGTAGCTACTCGAGGATCTAAATCACGATCTAAAATACGTCCAAAACCTAATTTACATACTTCAATTATTTTATCTATATTTTTATCAATTATGTCCATATTTAATTTATTAGTTTATTTAATATTTAATATTTAAAAATTTTAAGTATTAGACCGGTTCTTTTTATGAGAAAATGCAGTTACATAGTTTTTTGTTGACAAAAAACTGCTTATTTATTTATTTTAGTAGAAATGATTTAGATTCCTAAATAGAAATTTACAATAAGCCAATTGTAACCATTTGGCGGTGCAACATGTAACAGTTGATGTGGTACAAATGTAGAAATGAAATTTATAAGCCAATTGTAACCATTTGGCGGTGCGACATGTAGCAGTTGACATGGTACATATGTGACAAATAACTAAACAACACACTCCAATCACGTGGAAAATATATGTTATATCCTTAACATATACCCCGGGTATACGACATTATCCTGTTCCCCCTTTTGTCTTAAATATGATTGGCTCAATAATCATAGCCACAAACCTTGTGCAACTTTGTCTTAGAAAATATTTTGTTTCGTGAAAAAAAATGAGTGAAAAAATTTAATTTCACATACAGCAAGAAAGAAAAAATTTGTTTAACACTTAATATGTTATATTTCAGTCTTTTCAGTTTATAATTTTATTTATTTTATTTGTTCTTTATTAAATTTTACTAATAAACAAACAAATGTTCATGTACACAGTAAATTCATTACAAAAAGCATTGGTTAACTCTATAAATACTAACTCTAACATAATATATGAATACTTTTATATCCATTAAACAACTTTTTTTATTCAACAAAAATTAGTTTTATTTAACCAAAGTGTTTAAATTATGTGACAAAGTATCTGCATATATAAAATATTACAAAAAAATAAGTAGTTCAAACTTCAAACTAATTTTGATAAAAATTAATATTTGAATAGTTTTATACCTGCAGAATAACTTTACTTAACCTTTAAGAATGCGTTCACTTTGAATAAGCTGTTGTAGTTAAATTATAAAGTTAAAGAAATAAACGTGGCACTAATTTTTATAGCAAAAACTTTTATAAAACTCCAGTACTAAAATAGCTTATCAAAAATTAATAATTATATTCAGAGTTGGATTTGGACAATGTCCAATTTCTAGAATTGGACATTTGGACAATTTCCAAATGTAGTTGTTCAATTGGTTAATTGGATATTGTTGGATTTAAATGTGTCCAATTGGACATATAGACATATGTCCAAATCCAATTGGAGATCCAATTGAACATGTCCAATTAATAAATTATAATGTAACAATGATAATCTCATTTTTTTTTTACTTTACTTTTTTCTCATTAGAAAAAATGCCTCCTCTAAAATATACCTATACTAAATATATTACAGTTTTAAATGAAAAAGCAAATAAATTTAATTATTTTGCTTTGTGTTGCTATTGCAAAGTCAAAGTAATTTCTCATTTAAAGTCTTGTAATAAATTTGAGAAACAGTATTCTGAAAATGAAAGAAATAGGATACTTTTTCCTGAGAGATTCAAGAAAAGATCAAACTGAAGGAGAATCATCTTTTTCTTATGAACAAAATTTTTCTTTTCCCTCTTCCTCTCTATCATACTATTTTTCTTTTTCGTCTTCCTCTTTATCACACCATAACTCTTTTTCCACTTCCTCTTTATCATAATATTCCATCAGCAAGTTTGAAAAGTGTTGATTCACACCAGTATACGCATTGATCAACACCAGCTAGTTGTTCAACGCATTTTACAATATTAATCAACACCTGTATACTGGAGTATACCAACGCATAATGTTAATATACGCGTCGTTCAACTCTAATGTGTAGTTCAACGCACTGTATATTAACACAACTAAATAAATTACATTAATTTATTTATTTTTACTCACCTTAGGAACCGAACCGGTTACCTCAATTACACTATTAATATATCAAATCTCACGATCTAACCATTGTACTATTATAAATATTTATTAAAATTAATATTAAGCATTACGTATTTTATGTAATGATATATCACGTGTGTCACGTGATACTGGATTAATAATTACCACTGCGCCACTGTGGTATAGCAAAAAAAAAAATTAAGCTTTTTTTAGCAAAGCTTAATTTTTTTTTTTGCTTTTTCTCTTTCGTTTTTCCCATTACCTTTCGTTATCCCCTTCCCATTCGTTTTCCCATAACCCTTTCATTCTCCCCTTCCCTTTCGTTTTCCTATTACACTTTCGTTATCCCCTTCCCATTCGTTTTCCCATAACCCTTTCATTCTCCCCTTCCCTTTCGTTTTTCTATTACACTTTCGTTCTCCCCTTCGTTCTCTCCTTCCCTTTCGTTTTCCCATAACCCTTTCGTTTTCCCCTTCATCCTATAAAAAGTTTTATCCGTTATTCATGTAAAAACTCTGTAAATTCTGTAATATAAGGTTATTAATTCCTGAGATATGAGCCTTATACGGAAAAAAGTTGGAAGGTATCAAACTTCTGGTAAGTTTCGCAACGAAACATTGCGAAACTACTCTTTCATTTTTTAACGAAACGTTTTTTAGTAACGTTTCGAAATATTATTCTTTTTTTTAATTTTTTTAATCGGAACGTTGGCTAACGTTCCGATTTATTATTTTTTTTAAATTTCTTTAATCGGAACGTTGGCTAACGTTCCGATTTATTATTTTTTTTAAATTTCTTTAATCGGAACGTTGGCTAACATTCCGATTTATTATTTTTTTTTAATTTTTAATCGGAATGTTGGCTAACGTTCTGATTAATTTTTTTATTTCATTTTTAATCAGAACGTTGAAAAACGTTCTGAAATATTGTTTTTTTTAAAAAAATTCTTTAATCGGAACGTTGGATAACGTTTCGATTGTTTTTTTTATTTCATTTTTTTAACGAAACGTTTTTTAACGTTTCGTTAATAACTTTTTTTTTCATTTTTTTTAATCGGAACGTTTGCTAACGTTCCGATTTACATTTTTTTGTTCTTTTTTAACGAAACGTTTTAACGTTTCATTATTAACTTTTTTTTCATTTTTTTTAATCGGAAACGTTGGCTAACGTTCTGATTTTCTTCTTTTAACGAAACGTTTTTTAACGTTTCATAATATAATTTTTTTTATTTTTTTTTAATCGGAACGTTGGTTAACGTTCCGATTTTTTTATTTTTTCTTTTTTTAATAAAACGTTTTTTAACGTTTCGAGTTATTATTTGTCTTCATTTTTTTTTAACGAAACGTGACTAACATTTCATTTTTCTTTCTTTTTTAGGTCCGCGAATTCCTAGACGTTTTCTAAACGGGATTTCGACTTTGGGTAGAATAGGTGAGTTTCACAACGTCCGTTGTGAAACTTTATTGTTTTAATTTTTTTTTTTAAGAAACGTTTACTAACGTTTCTCCTCTTCTTATTTTTGTAGGTCTACGGGTTTTTTGGGTAGACGAAATGGTGAGTTTCGCAATGAAACGTTGCGAAACTTTATTCTTTAATATTTTTTTTTTAAGAAACGTTTACTAACGTTTCTTTAAATTCTTTTTGTAGGTTTTTTTTTGGGAAACGGGAAAAAGAGTAAGTTTCGAAGCGTAATTTTACGCTTTAAAACTTTTAAAAAAAAATTGTTTTCATTTTTTTTTATAAGAAAACGTTTCTAATGTTTATCTTATTTTTTTTGTGTAGGACCTTCGGCGTGTTCAACTTCGGATCTTGGATATTGTAAGTTTCGAAGGGTAATTTTTTAATTTTTTTTTTAATTTTTTATTAGGAAACGTTTACTAAACGTTTCCTTTATCCATTTTGTAGGATCGGAGAGTTCAAAATGGACGAACTGTTGGGTAAGTTTTTTAACGTTTCTTTTCGTTACGAAACTTAATAATATTTTTTTTATTTTATTAGGAAACTCTTACTAACGTTTCCTTTATTCTTTTTTAGGTTTCGGGAAATTTAAGAAGAGGGTCTTTAAACGGCAAGTTTCGTAAGAAACTTTCATTTTTTATCTTTTTTTCTTTAAGAAACGTTCTAACCGAACGTTTCTTTTATTTTTTGTAGGTTCGATTTCCGGATTTGGAATTTTGGAAAACGGTAAGTTTCGTACATTTTGTTACGAACCTTCCATTTTTTTTTTAATTCTTTCTTTAAGAAACGTTTAACTAAACGTTTCATTTCTTTTTTTGCAGGTTTGGTTTCTGGAAATATAAAATGGTAGGTTTCTTAACATTTTTTCGTTACGAAACTTCCATTTTTTTATTTTTTTTAATTAAGGTTATTAACATTCCATTATCTTTATTTTTTTTTATTTAGGCTTCGGGATATTTTGAATTCCGGATGGTGATAGGTAAGTTTCGCAACAAAATGTTGCGATACTTTATCAATTTTTAATATTATTACTAATGTTTTCTTTTTTATTTTTGTAGGCTTCGGGTACATGGGATAATTGGATTGATTGGATTGTAAGTTTCGTATTATGAAACTTTATTTTTTTTAGTTTAAAACATTGTCCAATGTTTTTTTTATTTTTATAGGTTCAGGGCTTCCGAGGTGTCGATTAGGAGCGTTAGAATTTAAAATGGTAAGTTTCATTGCGAAACTTTACCATCTTTTTTTTATTTTTTTACTAATTAAACATTTCTTTCATTTTTTAGGAATAATTGTTTTCGAATATTCGAAAACTTTTTTTTTTTATTTAATTATATAGATTTACATTAGACAATATATATTAATATAATTATCGCGTAGAAAGATCAATTAGTTGATTGTTAAAATCACATTCCACCTTGTTATGGTTGTGTCACCAGGGGCGCTTTGTCAACGGAAATTTAGTACTTTGATCGCTTAAAAATCCGCGGCAATCCAATTATAACAAGAGGAATTTACATTAGATAATATATTTGTATTGATACTGTATTTTATCATAAATAAATTTACACATTTTATATAATATATATATTAATAATATACAATAAAATATATATTTATAAATTAATACTACAATGTTAACTATTGTACGATGACTAAAAAATACCATTGCTTGACGCATTTTTAATATCAATATACGCGTTTTTATACATTGTATACGCGTTTTTAAACTATTGTTGTTTTACTACGTGTAGCTTTACATTTAAATTGGTGTTGTTTTATGCGGTTTTAAACGTTTTTAAGTAGCGTTG